AGAGTTTTTCTTTATTTTTTAATACTACATACTCGTAATTGGACAAAGTATTGGGTGGAAATGTATTTCACAAGTGTTTCAAAGCTTCTGCCTTCTGTTTGATTGATCTGTCTTATTGTCAGCACATGATGAATATGGCTTTTTGGGGAAGGGGGGTTTTTAATGGGGTAGTAACTTTTGGCACTGCCTGAGTTCTCCATGCTTTTTCTTTTCTGGCTCCTTGGCTGCTGTGCTGTTGAGCTCACATGTATGGACACTGTACTTTGTTGCACTGTGAAAATGATGGACTGCTCTGTAAAATGGAAATCCTTTCCACAGTGACAGGTCACCATCCAGTCTCTACTCAGTGATGTAAACCAGATGCTGCAAGTTATGTGATGGCAGGAGATAGCTTCCTTGCCTCTGCTTCCTTGCTTTTGGTCATTTTGTTCTAGGTATGGAACATCAGATATTTCCATGTCACTGAGTAAGAGATTCCAAGTAACTTGTTCCCTCTCATAAATCAGACTTGAAGGCTTTATGTTACTCTTCAGACTTGAGATTTCCAACAGCTGGCAATACTGATACCTAAAACTTTTCTTATTACTTAGGAGCTTATTACTTTCTAGGAAACAGGATTTTTTTTTAATTATTTTTTTTTTTTTCACTGATAATTAGCACCAGTGGTGTCAACTGCCATCTCAAAACAGTGTTATTGGCTTCTTGGTTGATGAGGTCTTTATTCCCAATTTGATAATTCTTGGGATATCTTTCTCCCCTTCTACTCCAAGGAGTGAAGCCCCATCAGTGCCAAATTTGTGGGAAGACATTTTCCCAGAGTGGCAGCAGAAATGTGCATATGAGGAAACACCACTCCCGACTTGGAACAGCTGGCAGCAGGGAGCGAGAACAGCCAGGTAAGGAAGGGAGGGCACTGTCTGTGGGGGAGAAGTGCAGGAAAGAATTAGTGCATGGTCAAAAATAAGGGAAGATGTTTGTCCCGAAAATACAAGACCACAAGTCAGTAAGGAATAAAAGACTGTTCCTCTTGGAGATGAGGATGGATTGCTTACCCTCTCCTTTTCTAGAAGACAAAGGTCTGTTTCTGGATTGTGGTCAAGGGGTAGATAGGTTTATTGTTTTCCGAATTAACATGAATCTAGTATCCTTTTTACATGGAATTTGTGTCCTTTTTTATGTATTACTATTGTAAGCAGCCTGGGTTTTTTATGCGATGAGAAATATTTAAAAAGCCAAGCCTGCATGAGATCCCACCATACTAAGGCACAAACAGTAAATACATTTACCATTCTCTGGAGCACCAGATGCCCAAAGAGTAGGAATGGATAAAGTAGGTGTCTGGGGAAGAAGTCTGTGTGACTTGGAGGCGGGCAGAGATTGTATCATACATCGCAATATCATTACATCGTGACAATTTTGCTTTACTCTTTCTCCTCCCCGCTCCCCCCCCACAATAGAGTCACTGATGGGCAGCAGTTTGCTGGAAGAATCTACAGTGCACAGTAAGAATCTCATCTCCATGAACTCTCAGCCCAGCCTTGGTGTTGAGTCTCTGCACCTGCCAGACACCGAGTCTATCATTGGAGTGGAGGAGGGTGAGACCAGCTGTTCTTTTTTCCGCCCTCTTATATGTGGTGACTGAAGTGGGATCGGTCATCCCTCCTAGAGGCTCACTGTGTTGCAGTGGGATGAGTGAACACTGCTTTAACTGTGCACAGAGCGGGTGGGTAGGTGGAGAATGAATCATAAAACTGGAGTTGGAGAAGACCTACCGGACCAAGTTTCTCTCTTGCAGAGCTTAGAAGGTGGAAGTCTGCTGCTTAGGTGTCATTTAGCCCATGTCGTGGAACGCCATTTCAAAACTGTTCATGCAGTCCATTCTCCTAAAGCCTAACGCGTTGGTTTTGCTGGAGCACCCAGGAGCCCCAGTTAAGGACCAGGACCTCATTGTGCTAGGCACTGTACAAACACCCAGTATCTTGAGCAACAGGCCTTCCTCCCATCCTTTACCTTCAGAGACTATGTTCTAACACATCTCACTGTCAGAACCTGACTTACTATCTGAAATAAATGTACTACTTGATATCATGTAATTACATTTGCTGTGTTCTTTTCCTGCCTTCCCCAGACACTTTTTCCTCCAAAATTTGTTTGGTATGTCAAGCTCTTTAAATGATTCTACCCTGTGGATGTTTTGAATTTTTGTTAAAGAGTTTCTTCAGAACTGGGATTGTTGAGAATGCGGAGTTTTGCTAAGATGCTACACATCTATAATAGTTCCTGTGGGAAGAGAATGCTTTGAGTTTATATTGCTCCCTAGCTGAATGTAAAAGTAGTGCTGCTGTCACTAAAGCTACTTAATGTAATCTGGAGGTTCTTGCAGAAGCTCCACCAGGTACCTGTGAATCAGGATCTGCTGTGGCTTGGCTGCCATCTCAGAAATTGATGGGAGACGCTCTAGTGAGATGTCTTCTCTACTACATTGTGTTTATAGGTCAGCTGAACAGGCTGCAATTCTTTTAACTAAAAATAACAAAATATTGTATTAAAATGCAAAAATCCAGAGCAAAAGTGGAAATTCTTTATTCCCATATCGTTTCTGAGATATATTAAGAGGTTACAAATCTCTTTTAGGATTACAGAAATGTGATCCTACTTTCAGAACAACACTTTGTTTAGCAGGAAGGGTGCTAGTGAGTTTCAGTTACTTAGTTTGATGCTTTTACTTTGATCACCATTTCAGCAATTTCTGTTTAGGGACCAATATTAAGACTTGGATTTATCTGTTACTGCATTCATGGATGTCACCTTAGTATTTGTTAAAGGGATATGGCATAATTTCATATACTAATTTAAAGTCAAGCCTTTGCTTCTCCTTTCTTAAGGTTTTCCTTTACACTTCACATACTTGGAAATTTCTTTTTCCAGCATCATCAGGTATTATTATGGTAAGTAGCAAACAATTTTAGTAAATACCTCTTAAAATGTATGTATTAAAATTTCCCTCCCACTGCTCTGGGTATATCCATACAAGCCCAATGGGCTTTAGAGCACAGGCATGGAAGAATTTCCTCTTTCAATGTGACAAGGCATAGTAACAATAGGATTACATCGCTGCTCTTTTCCAGGGGATACAGGAGAAAGAACAGCCTTTGTGTGCCCTACACCATTAAACCTACACAGAAACCAGTACATGGAAAAGGCCCTTCCTTAAACCCTCCCAGGCACTTAGGCCTCTTGTCAGTGTGGAAAACCCCTGCAGTGAGGGAGTATTTCCAACCTGTTGAGAATTTCTCTAGTGAAGGGCTGCATTTCAGTTTGTGACACAGCACTCAGCAGATGCATTGTGTAGAAAGCTTTTCAACAGGAAAAGGAGGAAAAAAGGAACAATACAAGCCTCAGCTTCGAATTGTCAGAGATTCTTGGGGTCAGTAAGGAGAACTGCTGCAACACGATGCGTTCAGCTGCGTACCAGCACGAACTGATCTCTGTGGAAGTGTAACAGCAGCCTGAAACCCTGGGGCCATAAATTCCTGAATCTAGTACTTTGTTATGATAAAAAATGCAATGATCTCAGTTTTCATAGAATCATAGAATGGTTTGGATTGGAAGGGACCTCAAAGATCATCTAGTTCCAATCCCCCCGCCTTCAGCAGGGACACCTTCCACTAGATCAGGTTGCTCAAAGCCTCATCCAGCCTGGTCTTAAACACTTCCAGGGAGGGGGCATCAACAACTTCCTTGGGCAACCTGTTCCAGTGTCTGACCACCCTCACAGTGAAAAACTTCTTCCTAATATCTAATCTAAACCTCCCCTCTTTCAGTTTTATCAAACGTGGTAGCTCTTATGGGTACTGTATGTCTGATGTGATGATGAGGTTTTGTTGTTACAGTAAGGAGAAATAGATTGAGGTAACAAAGATGAAAAGAGACACAGCTTCCACTTAAAAAGTGAGGAAAAAGAGGATAGATAAAGAAATCAGACAATGCAGAGACACTTGATAGCCATTTAAAAATCTTTTAATCTCAAAGTTCTTTAGTATCATAATTCTCAGAAAACATTCCAGGTGGTAAGGGTTTGTATTTTTGAGACTGTTATTACTGTCACCACTAATGTGTTTAAGATGCCCCAGGCATTTGAGTGCAACATGCTGACAGGCAATACCTAATCTTTCTTCCACCAAAGTCCATCTTTGATATCACAGTAATTGTAGAATTAGGACAGCAATCCAAAGTGATCCATTGTTTAATTACAACCTTCATAATTTTGTGTGTTTTTCAGGCCAAATTAATTATCTAAATTGGTAAGATATTAAAACAAGTTTCAAATAATGAAGTATGTGAAATATTTTAATATAGAAAGACTATTGCTTCTTCCTAATGGGAGGAAGGAGCAGAGCTGGTAATGAGTGAATGAAGAGTTAACACCAGAGAAGGGAAGGGCTTCCCTCTGAGTCTTCTCCCAACGTAGGTCAAATCCGGGAAGGGCTTCCCTCTGAGTCTTCTCCCAAGGTAGGTCAAATCCTTTTTTTTTTTTTTTCTTTTTTTTAAGAAATACCTTGTTTAAAAGCATTCTACTACATGTATGTGTAATCCAAGGTTTAGCACACTGAAAGGCATTCTCCTCTTTCTGTGTGCTTCTGAGGCATGAACACAAGGAGCTGACACTAGGGGATGTACCTCTTCAATCCTTTATATCTACTTTTATCCAAAAATAGTGTTTCAACCTTTTTAACTTGTTTGTTTCCTGGGGAAACGAGAGAAATGGCTCACACGGGGAACACTTGTGAAGACTAAGGGTGGCTGCAGGGTTTGCTGGGTTGGACAAGGCATGCTCTAAACAACAGTTGGTCTTTTTTTCCCTTACTAAGTTCTCACATCTCACTTACCCCAGAGTAATTCTTAGGTGTCAGCTTAAACCAGAAAGTTCCTGACAATTAACCTGAAGAATCTTGAATTAAAAGCATCAAGAGATGATTGATGGATTCTTTTGCTAGATCTTACGGTGCTATTTCCTTTCCGCCCCGTTCCTCTTGAGCGTCTCCTTCCTGTACCGCACAGTCGTCCTTTTCACCTCGAGGCTTGGGCACTCTGCAGAAATAGTGATGGTCTAATACCAGAAATGGTTTGCAGTGTTTACTTGCTGCTTTGCCACATGCATAAGAAATAGAGTGCAGTCATAGGAGTTAAGACAGAGAAGCCATGATGCTGAGTAAGAGGAGTGAAGTTGATTTAATTTTGCCTGCACCAGATGATACAATCAAGGAAAATAATTCTACTCAAAGGCAAGAGCTCTATTGCATTGTTTTTATTACCTGTGAACGTCAGATTCTTCTTCCAGCAAGTCAGTGGCATCTTTCCCTTTTTTCCTTACAAATTCTTCGCTTAGCCCAACCTGCTGGAGGGTGTGTCTGTAGCGACGCTCTGCTCCTTGTCGAGCATCGTGCTATGAAATCAAAACTTAAACAGTAAACTGGGGCTTCTCCATAACGGTCAAGTTGGTTTAAAGTTCATGGCTGACACCCCTAATGAGCACAAGAGTACAGCCAAGCCCCCCTCCAGAATTTCTGTCATCCATACAGTACAATACCAACACTGAATACTAGGAGAATGTCTCACATCTCTCAAAGCCAGAGCTCACCTTTTCCTGCTTCTGTTTTTTTCTTCTCCCTTCTTCTGTTCTCCTGCTTCTACAGCATTCCAGTCTTACCAGACTAGCATACTTGTGTCTGAGTCCTGACTTGACACTCAAATTGAGAATATGTGCAGAAAAGGTTATGAGAAATTCTGCAGGTTTGCTTGTAATTTGTAAGCACACTAACCACAGTGAAGCTCAATAAACAGACAGCACCTTGAAATAGCTTTGTATCAGCTAACCTTCAGGAAACTGAAAACCAAGCATCCTGGACCCTGTATCTTCACTGCCTCCCCGTAAACACTGCAAGTGAATGTAGTCTGAGATGATGGTTTTCCAGAAGGACCAGCCAGTTCATAAAGCTTAAGGTGTTCTATATGGAAGGATAGAAATCTTGTCCCAGCATGAGTGAATGCTGTCAATACTGGTGAATTCTTACCAGCCTGGCAAACAGAAATGTTATCAATATTTATCATACAAATGTGTTCTCTGCCTCCATTAACCACTGACCTAAACAGAAAGTCTGACCCAGGAGGGTGCTTTCTAGTGAGAAATCTTAAATCAGCATATTGCCAACATATTGTCACAATGTCTCAAACAGGTATCATCCCTGCAGGGAGACAGAACTGAAAGAGAAAACTCAGGGAAAAAGATACCTTACAGAGAGTAAAGTTTGTATCTGCACCTCAGGTGCAATGGAGGTTTGCAGATGGTACTGCATGGTGGACAAGCTGTGCTGAACACAACTCCAGACAGCAGAGCTTGGAGGTGATATAAGCGACTGAACTCTCATTAATGTTTTTCTAGTAGCACTAGAGGACAAAGAAAAAGTGCTCAACTAGAAAGAGTTTTAAGAAAAAAAGTTTAAAATTTCTAGCTGTAGGCTGTGCTGTTCAGGTGCAGAATAGGTATTAGTGTAATTTCTAGCATGATAAGGCCTTTATTTTTATCAGACCATATGCTTTGATTGCAATATATATTGGGGACTGGAAAAGCTCTACAACCAAGAAGTAAGTCTGAGTGTTTTTCAAGTGGTGGGAAGGAATTTAAATGACACTTAGGTGGCCTTCCAGGTGTTATTTTTAGCATAGTCAAGAGACTATGCAACCATTGGGACCTTCTTATCCATGAATTACTTGAGACTAGGTTTCTTAATGCCTGTCTTAAATGAACGACAGACAATGTACCCTGTCGACCAGAAACACTCTGGGACTTTGACCAGTTACCTTGGTGACCTGTTCAAAGAGGTAGGGTCTGTTCTTGACTCGCAGCTGCATTTCTTCCAGCTCCTTTCTGTATTCCTTTGTTCTCTCTCTCAGATTTTGCCTGAAATGGAAAAGTTGCCTGTCTAACACAGGTTCCTTCTGACTGATCAGGAACTGATCAGCAGCTGATCAGGAACAAGGAATTCTCAATAACTCTTTCGTCCTTTAAATAGCTCTGTAATTCTCTTGGTTCTGAATGCTGGGCAAAACACTGCTCTTGCTGGCAAGTTATGGACCATTAGCAAAGCTTTACTACTAGACTGTAAGCAGAGAACCAGAGTTCACATTTAGAAAACCTTATGTGTCCTTTACCAAATTCTACACTTCAGCTGGCTTTTTTTTTTTTTTGTACAAATTAATTTCTACAAATGTTTATTTAAAGGAAACTGTTCCATATGGAAAAGAGTAGTGTGGAATTGTCAGTAAATCCAAATGGACGTAGAATGGGTGTGACAGCCAAAAAAGTTAGGCTAGGAATATTCTTAGACCAAATTCCTCCTAAAGAATTATCTGATGATCTCCAGTTAGCAGAGCAAATGGTTATTTCTGTGAAGAACAGGATACTGACCAGTTCTGTTTTGACTTCTTGTGTGTTTCCTCCAGACTTTTGTGCGGATCTAGGGCTTTTGCTCGGCTGTTCACTGACTTTCGGATTGCTTGACATTTCTTTTTCTGTTTCTCCAGCCAATAAATTCCTTCTTTGTCCCTTTCGTTTTTGTTATCCTGGGAGTATCTATACAGAAAAAGGTTAGTAATGAGCTCACCTGACTGCCAGACTGTATACTAGCAGGGAATTTCACTTGTGTAGTCCTCTACGGAGAAAAGCAAAATTTCAGACATATGTGTGCAGCTCCCAAATCAACTGGGAGGCAGGGCAAGAATTAGGAAGGAAAGAAGACAGAGAAACATTGAGGAAAAGGATTGTTGACGTGGTTGACGTGATGAGGGAAAACTGACTTTTTTTTCCCTCCATTTTGGTCATTAGTTGGTGTATGGTCTTATAGACAAACTTCTACTTACCTAATAGCAGATTCCCTTTTCCTAGTTGCATCTGTAATATGCACTGGAAGGGTGTTGGAAGAGAGAGAGGAAAGTCCAGTCAGAGAATGACTTTTTTGTGCTGAAACCTTGGAAAGTTGCTGGGAATCCTGAAAGAAAATGGAACTTCATTCAGTGTATTTGTTCACAATACAGAATCTCTACTCTTTGTCTGCCAAAGAGAACAGTTGGGGTATGTGGGCAACGTGCTCATTCTTCTCTCTTCCATCCGTGGGGATTTACATAGGGAAGAGCTGAGGGGAAGGAGAGGTGATTAGGAGTATGGAAGGGTGGCTGAGCCTCAGCTGTCATAGCTCATCTCTCTGTGTAGAATTTTGTTCTCTGGCTTGTCCTAGAATTCTGCAGTACTCCCAAGAGAAAGGCAGAGGTCACAGGACATTAACCATCCATAAATAAATGCTATAAATTTAAGAAGGTGCCATCTTGATCGGAGAAAGCAGCACCACAGAAATATCCAGTCATCTCACCTTTATCTTGTCATTAGCCTGCCTCTGCCTGCCACGGAGATTGGAGGTTCTTAGCTTGAATGGCTTATTACGAGTTGCCTCTTTGATTTCTTGTCTCCTTACTGCTTCCCTCTGAAATGCCCAGTAAAGTCCTTCAAAATCCGGTATTGTTGGATTAATCCTTGGCTTGAAGCTGAAACTTTTGTCCTGCAAGAAGCCAAGTCTTTCCTGCTTAGTTTTAGTGGCAGTTCGGGACTGAGGCTCCCTCCGACAGTTGCTAGTATCTATAGGAGCTACGGAGCTCTCAAGCAAATCCTTCGCTCTCATTTGAATGCGGATTTCTCTGTAGAGTTCAGCTTCTAATGAATCAAAAGCAAAGCAATGAGAAGATGATGAGTGACATAAAAGGCTGCAAAATTGCCACTGCACAACTCTAAACTTCTCTTTACGATGGCAGCTACACGTATAGGAGAGACCAGACATCCTGTGTTCTCCTTCCCCACTTTCCAGCCTCTCTCTCCTCTGCCTCCCAGGAAAAAAAATTCAAAGATAGCAGAAAGACCATGGTAGAGTCTCTTTCTTAGGCATTAATCTCTAGATATCTCTAACTTATGTAAGTTACTGAACAGGCTTCCCCCTCCTATTCCTGTTCTTAGGGGTACCCAGTAACTTGTGCCCTTTGTCTTGCAGATGTGTTGTATTAATCAAGGTTCTACATTCCACATGGGACTTTATCTCATTCTGTTGACTGTGTGACCCAAACGAGCTGTTCAGATATACCTGGAACAGATGATGGCTTTTCTATGGAACAGCCACCAGTGTTTGCCCATGTTGGAAAAGATTTTAGGTAAGGAGCATTTGGTGGATGGATCATGTCTTGTGACTTCTGGGACAACCTTCCCAGAGAAAGGATGTGTTTCAGGGTATAGTGTCAGAGTGTGAGCACTGTGCAGCACTAAATATTTGAGAAAATGTAGCTAGACAGTTGGCTGTGGGATGGTTCTTTTGCTTTTATAAAAAAAATCAATATAGCTGTTTGCAAAATAAGCCTTTTTTGCATCTATCATAGATAATAAGTTTGCACTGACTGAGGTTTGAAATGTTAATTCCTCCTCCTTTCTTCTACACCAGCTAGAAACAGAAAAACGGCTTATCCTTTGCTCTCTTACCTTTCTGACCTGTTTAGTTTAGAACACCATAACAGGATGTTTTCTGATGAAAACTGAACTGGTGTATACTCAAGAAGAAATCAGTGGGAAACAGTAAAAAAAAAATTTATAAAAGCAATGAGGATTATCAAGGACTGGTTTAGTTCCTATATTCAATGTGAAGTCTGTATTGCTTACTTCAGACTTACAACTCGGGGGGGCTTAAGCCGTCTGAAAGAAAGTGAGCATCAGGAAAACTTCTTTGTCTGACTCTGACTGGAATGGTCCTGGCACCTACCACCTCTGTTTTAAACCTTCTTAAGTAGAAGGTGGAGAAGGAGTGGGAAGGTAACTGAAACATCAGAGAAGGGCAGGAGAGACTGGGCTGCTGCACTGTTGCTTAGAACCAAACTCACTGCCTGATCTGGGCTCAGGAAGTATTTTTCTCCCAGGGCTCCTGTACAGCACCGATCACTTGAGAGGGAGTAAAACTGTCAGTTCCAAGATACTGCATGGACCTGGGACCCTTCTGGCACTTCATCTGTCTCCACATTTGTGCCACAAATCATCTAAGTCCCTCCAGTGTAACCAGAGGTGTGGAACCCAGTGCAGGGAAGGATTCCCAAACTGTCACCATTTGCAGCGAAAGGGTTATGGAAATCTGTCTGAAGAGCTGAGTGTACCCATGTGTGCTGAGGAGCGGTACAGAACTGCTGCTCCTGACGCCGACACAGAGTACTAGATGTAGGACACCCTGCTCTAAGGGTACCCAGATGAAAGGTAATGACCAGTGACACACGAGACTGGGCAGCACCAGGGGCTGTAACGATACTGGTAACGCCCTACGGGCTGCAATCCCACCTCCCAGCATGGAAACAGCGAGGGACAGGCAGGAGCTGTTTTTACAGCCCTGGCATTTTACCTTTGAGTTTATCTCCAAGGAGTGGATCATAAGTAGATTTAGGAACTTTTTTACTGGCTTGCTTCTGTTTGGAGCTCTCATTTGGGGTTGCTGCTGCCAGGAACTTTTGTCTGATAGCTTCTTTCTTTTTCTCCTCCTTCTCCAGGAAGCTGAAGGGCCGCTGGGTTGAAAGTAGCAGCGCTTTTCTTTTCTGTGTTGCGATTTGCCTGCGAATCTCATTCTGCTCCATTATTTCCTGATAAAGGGGCAGAAACACGTGGGCAGGTACAGGCTGTGCCCGGAATTGTTTCTGACATTCAGCTTCGTCCTGGCTTTGCCTTTTGTCTGTCTGTTTGTCTAGTTCAAGAAACATGTATGACTTCATCAGCTGCGACTTTCTGTGAGCTTCCCGCAGTGTCATTTGGAAGGGCTGAGGGATGGTGATGGAAGGAATCCAGGGAGATGAAGCGCTTTTTGGCCGCAAGCGGGATTTAGGATACAAGTGAAGCTTTTGTTGATCCCAGGTACTGTCCGAGGTGAGGTCAATCAAAGAACTGGATTGTCTTTTGTTACCAGATGTATGACTAAGACAAAGACATTACGAAGGGGAAATAAAAGTAATTATTAAAAAACAGAATTAAAAGAAGGGAGATACTGTTGATGAGGCTGAGCTGGTTGTTAAAAGACAGGCCTAGGGCTTATTGTTCTCAGTCTCTGTATTTTGCTTTACTACCAAAGTTCATGAGCAGAGCTTTGCTTCTTTTCCATGTATAAAATGGTGACTATACCTACTTGGCTTTGTAATGCAATTTATTACACTGCTAGTACTCTATTGCCAGAAAGGCCACAAATAAACTAGAAGGTTCCAACTTTAGGGATATCTGGCTGGTAGCTACTCAACGTAAAAACCATCTGAGGAGAGGCAATAAATTAAGCGCACAGATGCACAAATCCTAACAAACAGTACCAAACACCTTAATTCCCAAGATGCTGATGGAAGGGCCATTGCAAGGAACTGCTTTAGTGCAACTGTCAAGAGGTTCAGCTAGAAACTTTGTAGCTGATAAGAAGATCATATAATTTATAATAAGAAAAAAACCCCAAGACTATCATGGGTCGCATTGACCTAGCAAACTTCTCACAGGCTGTTCGAAGGTGATTGTGAAACTGAGTAAATCTTATGAGGTACTTAGGGAAGGAATACATGCAGGTAAAAGGAAGGATCAAGGTGGATCAGGGTGAACAAGAACAGGAAAATGGGAAAAAAGTGGGAAACAGAAGGTGCCAATTGTGTAAAGAGGCTCCTGGTCAATCCACTTGCCTGGTGATTGCTGCAGTCTGTTCTTATTTTTAAACTTTTTCCTTTGTAAAAGCGTGTGTGTGTGTGTGTGTGTGAGATCTGGTAGTGAACTTCAAGCTGGACTAACCCCACAGAAAGATGAAGAGGTCTGAGAGGTTGATGTTAGGGACACCACAGCTCCAAAGACTGGATGCTGAGTAGACTGGATGCTGAAAAGAAATGTGTGCAATCTGCTAGCAAATTTTAAGCGTTATTAGATAATAATAATAGGAAGATAATTTGTGCTGTTCATATTTTATGTGAATCCTTCTTACATGGGCACCTGTTGGCTCCATCCTCCCATCTCCAAATACATTTGTGGCCAGTGTGTGTTTTGGTGATATATATA